AACATGGAGGGTAGTGTAGTGTACTAACATGGAGGGTAGTGTAGTGTACTAACATGGAGGGTAGTGTAGTGTACTAACATATGGAGAATGAGTGTAGTATACTAACATGGAGGGTAGTGTACTAACATGGAGGGTAGTGTAATGTACTAACATGGAGCGTAGTGTAGTGTACTAACATGGAGGGTAGTGTAATGTACTAACATGGAGGGTAGTGTAGTGTACTAACATGGAGGGTAGTGTAGTGTACTAACATGGAGGGTAGTGTAGTGTACTAACTAACATGGAGGGTAGTGTAGTGTACTAACATGGATGGTAGTGTAGTGTACTAACATGGATGGTAGTGTAGTGTACTAACATGGAGGGTAGTGTAGTGTACTAACATGGATGGTAGTGTAGTGTACTAACATGGAGGGTAGTGTAGTGTACTAACATGGATGGTAGTGTAGTGTACTAACATGGAGGGTAGTGTAATGTACTAACATGGATGGTAGTGTAGTATACTAACATGGAGGGTAGTGTCACCGTTGCCTCATAGTCAATAGCTGCGGCCGTTGTCGGCTTTGGGGCCAAGATCTCGTTCCCCTGAGGCAGAGCAAAGCAGACCTAAGGAGAGAGGACAGTCGACATCTCAACGAAGCTGTCACATAACTTCTGGGCTGCTGCTTCTGTTCGGAGATCATCTCCGCGAGTCTGGCATAGAAGCATCTTGCACTTGGTCCCATCCCACCAGAGGTTGTGAACACCAGAGGAGTGAAGCTGCCTTGATCAACGTTCTGAATTCTCTCCCCATATGCCCTAATCTTGTCGTTCTCGTTCCTCCTGTGTGTAGTAACGAGAGCTAGGTTTCGGTGACATGCGGCCATGGAATAAAAAAAATCCTTATGTGAAAAAAGGCCCGCTGTCTCCGCGTTGAGAATCCTCGACCACTGACGTCCACACGGGATTCGTTGGATGTGTTTGAAGTCCTGTGACTGAGGTTCTCACCGTCCAATGGAAGGAGGGGGCGGTTCCATCATGAAGTCGTGGCCAGATTTCCCTCAGTTACTACTATTACAATCGTAATCTAACTATATGCAACGTGACACCCACCAAACCCCCAAAACTTTATTGTTTGACTTCGTGTAACAAAGGCAACTGTGAGACGGCATGTTTATCGTTATGAAGTGGTTGATAACGGGGCGCGCTTATCTATTCATGGAATTTCCTGTCTTTGGGCGTCGAGAACTTGATACTGTAGGTCTTACCCAACACCAGCTATCGTAACTCACTGGATGATTTAGGTCTTTCGAAGGGCAGGGATCTTAAAGATCTTAGTTTCAACACTGGACAATAACCTTTGATAGGTCTTCGTTTGTTATAAAAAAAATAAAAATTTCAGAGAGAGAGAGAGAGAGAGAGAGAGAGAGAGAGAGGATAGGTGGGGGGAGGGGAGGGGCTCCTCTCTAAAAATTACTCATGGCCTTTTCTCAAGGTTCATCAGTGTGTCCTCTTGGATTGATCCATCACCTACTGGAGGAAAACACCAAGACAAAGATGCTTACTGGAGTGAGTCCCAAGTCATACAGTTGTATTTTCCTGTTGATTAATGAAGCCGATTATTTAAGAGGTGATAAATGTATCTGCCTTATTTAACCTAAAATCAAATTCGGATACCTAGGTTGTCTGAAGGTTCAGAAAAGGTGTTATCCTTTACTTTACAATTTTACTGAAAATTTAATGTACTATGGATTTTTAGGATGATTTGTATGAGAGTTGAACGGATGTATATTATTTCCTACATTAAAACAGGACTTTAGTTGTGTGGCCCCCACACAGCGTTCTCATTCTAAGTTTCGGTTTCGAGTCTGTGGTCGATCATGATCTTTCTTGGTTGTTGATTTATGTCCAAGAATTTGTTGTGTTACAAAAGGTATTTGTTAGCTCTCTGTGTCACACTGGCTGTAAGTTCGGGAGGCCATGAATTTGGACCTGCTGGTAACGGTGATCCAATAAGAACTGCCGAAAAAAAAATATATATTGTCTCTCCGTAATTTTTATATATAACAAGAACTGAATCTCGGTGAGTTTCTAGTCTAGCAGATAAGCTGCCAAAGAGGCCAGAATTGTTCACAATGGGATGAAAGCACCAAAATTGGTGGAGATATAGCTAAGCCTTTGTGGAACCCTGTATAATAAAAAAGTTGGACCCACCTTATAACTGTATTTTAAGGTAGTCATCTGGCATCATGGATGATCACTATGCTCGCTGGTTACCAGTACATATCCGAGACATGTTGGCTTCACCCAGCAAGTACCAGCAAGTGTATAAAGAAGTCAAGAATGGAAAATTTGTTGTTAAAAAATCTGGTCATGTGTTCAGTCTGATTACGCTAGAGTCTAACGTAATGGTTATGATCTAGCGGCTAGATCATAACCATGAGCAAGAAAATGAAGCTATCAAAGGTGATGGCGGTGCCGTGGGCCTCACAGGGAACCCATCAGCTCTTAGAAGGTGGCTGACTGCTGGTCCGAAAGTGACAAAGAGTAATGAAGGAATTTATATCAACTTACTTACATTCAGGGAATGACGACATTCGCCATAATGAACAGGTACCATCAGATCAGGAATCCTTTGCCAAGGGTGTAAAATGCCTGTAAGGCATCATGCCCACATCAGCAGTTGATTCAGCGAACAACACTCGACACCTAGACCAGTCACAACATAAAGTATGTGTAAAAGAGCGACTCCAGTTGTGAGCAAAGCCATTGACTGACAATATTGAAAGAAAGAATGTGTCGCTGATTGTAATACATCGGCTAGACTTTACCTTGCATGTCAAGCAAGGGGTGGTAATCTGATGCTTTTCCGTGCCTCGAAACAGACCCATCCTCCATTGCAGATTCCAATGTTAAAATGAAGATGGGGCTGCCATTATCAACCTGTTAAAACCACGCAACTGCAAAAATTTCCTTGATTATGTCATAGTTATTATTGAGCCATATAAACACTACCAAACTATAAGCGTGAAGAGACTTGACATTGTCTGGGAGTTATATGTAGTGCACAGTTTGAAGTAAAGCACTTAAGAAGAGATAAGTCACAGAGATAAGAGAAGGGTCTCCCTGACTATCACCCTCCAACAAACTGGGAGTCTTTCTTGAAAAATGACACCAACAAGACTGAGCTGTTTGCTTCCTAGTTACTTAAATTGCAGGTATCAAGACTCAAGAAAGCACAGGTATAATCAGCACTTGCTATGATGACACCACCGGTCCTCCAAGTAAACAAGATGGGCACAGCTCCTTGTTATCATGAAAAGGCTGGTATTCGTGTAATTCTGCATGCAGCAACATGTAGTTACTCAAAGATAATGATTAGGGCAGTAGATTAAGACATTGTGGTCCTTGCTGTCGCATACATTGCAAAAATTGCCGTTCAGGAAGTATGGATTGCCTTTGGGACAGGAAGTTCACTACCGTTGCAGTCCAGCGCAATCTAGAACCAAGTATGTGTAAGGTACTACCATTCTTCCACTCTCTAACAGGCTGTGATACTGTGTCAGCTATGCACAACGTTGGCAAAAAGGAAGCCTTTGACATCACTGAAGTTTCCTGCACATTGTCGAGCCAACTTGATGATATCACAGCGGAGGGAATGAGGAAATGAATGTCATTGAAAGCCTTGTAGTTCTTCTCTATGGCCGCACTTGACTCCATAGTCAAGTGAATCAAGCTAAACAGACATTATTTGCCCAGGGAAACAGGCATATAGAGGATATTCCACCGACACAGGCCGCCCTCAGCCAACAAGTGAGAAGAGCAGCTTATCAAGCTGGCCACGTTTGGGGGCAAACATTGGAAGCAATGCAAACTTTACCAAAGCCTAAAGACTGTGGATGGCAACCCTTATGTGTCTCTTGTATGGAACTTATTAGATCTGGATGCAAGAAAGGATGTCGATGGAAAGGCAAGTGTGTAAAGGCTGGTCTTCCATGGACAGCTCTCTGTGTATGTTCAGGAACATGTCATAGAGTGAACTCGCGAATGGGAGGGAGATAATTACTGATAATGAGTGTACTGTATTCATGTACACGGACAAAAAAAATAATACAGAATTCTACCCACTTGGGCCCGATTTGTTTGGAAATGAACACAAAGTACAGCAGTTTTGGTTCAGTTGTCAAGAATTCCCATATATTGCCAATGATAGGATTGTCCTCTTTCACCCCGCTGGATGAGTAGCTGAACCCCCCTCCCCCAAGTGACTGGCTGGAGGCGTCCTGATAGTCTATTGCATTATACATGTGTTGATATGTCGAATGTAGAAGTAGATTTGTTTATATTTCATTTCTTTATAATCTTCAATGCAAGATGTAATCAGTGGAAATAAATAATGGACCCTCCTACCAAATGCTAAATCTGCCCTAGATTCCTAGACTTAATTCATTCATTTGGTTACTTTAGTTAGTTGAAATTATGATACAGTTCTATATTGTGACAATTATAGGAAATGTATGCTGAATGGGGAATAATTTTTTATTATAAATATTTCACAAAAGGGTGTGTGTGATGAAAAGAAAAAAGCAAATAACTGAACTCGAGGGCAAAATCTGGCCTGGATCCAACTCTTATATGAATGAATGTACTGTACATACAGTATTCCAAGCTCTATGTCCACCAATTTTGGTGCCTTCCTCCTCATGTGAAGAATTAATTCGTCTGCTTGTTCGCTGGAATAACAGGTTTAGTACATTGGAGGTGGCCTTACCGTAGTTCTCCTGTATAATAAACAAGAGACCAAAAATGACAATTACTCCATCACCACCAAGAACAGCTGACCCACATCAGGATGAGATGCCAGTCAACGATTGACAGAATTAATTTTGTTCTGCTCAAGAGAGGAGAATCATATACACATTGTATTGGTTATCACGCTAGTGGTTCATCGGCTACTCAGATAACCGTGGATGTCAGCTGATAAGATTACCTAGTGTAGAGGTGTGCGTTCATTACTACCTCCGCGTCTATACAGGTAAGACACGCAGATCTCACCAGCACTGCCCTAACGTAGCCTAACCTAAACCTGAGTCTCTTAAACTCCTTAAATTACAGACAAAATAAAGACGAGAGATACAAGGCCGCCATTAGTGACAGGTGAGCTATACTATTTTATGTCGCTGGGGAGGAAACTATTTATTTTATGTTGACAGTGGCTATTATTTTAAACTAACGTGAGCTACTTTTTTAAATCGAGTTAGCCCCTCGAGTAAGATGACTTAACCCTTTGAGTATGATGAATTAACTCTTTCAGTAGGATGACTTCATCCCTTTAGTACGATGATTTAGCCCTTTGTGTAATATGGCTTAGCCCATTGAGTACGATGACTTGCCCACTCGAGTATGATGATTTAACCCCTCGAGTACGATGACTTAACCCTTTAAATGAGAACAAAAGAACATAAGGAGTCTGCAACAGGCCGGTTGGCCTGTGCATGGCAGCTCCTGTCGAGAGTTACTACCACTCTCTATCATCCATGGATCTATCCAGCCTCCTTTTGAAACTTTCCAGCGTTCCAGCACTTACTACAAAGTTGCTAAGCTTGTTCCATTCGTCCACCACCCTATTTGTGAACCAGTTCCTTCCTATCTCCCTCCTAAACCTAAACTTATCCAACTTAAATCCGTTGCTACGAGTCCTATCCTGCTCGGATATTATAAGAACTTTATCTATATCCCCTATGTTGATTCCTTTCACCCACTTAAATACTTCTATCATATCTCCCCGCACTCTTCGTCTTTCTAGGGAATGCAAGTTTAGTTTCTTTAACCTATCCTGATATGGAAGGTTTCTAAGTCCCGGAATCATTTTCGTCATTCTTCGCTGCACCGACTCTAGTGAATTGATATCCATTATATAATAAGGGCACCAGAACTGAACCGCATAATCGAGGTGCGGCCTGACTAGCGCAAGATATAGTAGCAATAAGACCTCTTCACGCTTATTACTTACACGTCTAGATATAAAACCCAATACTCTGTTTGCCTTATTTCGAACATTAACGCACTGTTTTCTTGGCCGTAGGTCCGGGCTTACAAGTACCCCTTGGTCTCTTTCACAAGTCGACTTCTCTAGGTTGATGTTGTTAAGGCTGTATACATTGACAGTATTTGTTCTTCTAATATTAAGTACGCTGCACTTGCTGGTGTTGAATTTCATTTGCCATTTTTCAGACCACCCCTGCAGTTTATTTAGATCCTCCTGTAATGCATTTGCATCCTGCCCTGAATTAATCTGCCGCCCTATTTTGGTGTCATCCGCAAACTTGCTTATGTCACTGTTGATCCCAGTATCTAGATCGTTTCTGTAGATTATGAACAAGAGTGGGCCTAGTACTGACCCCTGGGGAAGCCCACTGGTTACACGGCCCCACTCAGATTTAACACCATCTACGCTGACCCTCTGCGTTCTATCGGTGAGCCATGATTTTATCTTATTTAAAACTTTCCCCTCGATACCATGAGCCTAAATTTTTCTCAGAAGCCTCTGATGCGGTACTCTGTCAAATGCTTTGCTAAAGTCTAAGTAAATAACATCGTAATTTTCGTCATTATCTACTACCTCGAAGACTTTCCTAAAAAACGTCAGCAGATTTGTTAGACAATATTTTCCCTTTGTAAATCCATGTTGAGGGTCGTAGATTAATTTGCTTTTCTCTAAATGCGATCGGATGCTATCTGCTATAATTGATTCAAGAAATTTCCCCACTACTGATGTCAAACTGATCGGCCGGTAATTTGACGCTGATGCTCTGTCTCCCTTTTTGAATATGGGTACCACATTTGCCTGCTTCCACAAGTCTGGCACAGCTCCCGTGTCTAATGGTTTTCTAAATAAATTTACGAGGGGTCCGCTAATCTGTTCCCTACACGATGAGTTATGCTTTTAGTACGATGATTTAATCCCTTCAAATCGACAACATTGTAGCTCAGGGGGTTATGGCCTCGCAGTCAAGGGTTAACGAAGCCGACAATGTGTTATGAGGTTCAACGAGGTCTAAATCGCCCAGTAAGGTGATTTAACCCCGCCACTTCAACTCGATACAGCTTCGGTCAAACCTGACAAATACAAGTAATAAATTTACAAGAGAGAAATGAAGGATCAGATATGAATACATCTTAATAATAGCAAGTAATATTCTTCACGTCCACACTGAAACGCAGAATAGTATTAGACTTAAGTGTTGCAGGTCCGGATCAGAACAGAAAGCCTTGGTGTGTTTAGTAACTTTCGGGCGATCAGGTGAGAGGTAGTGGTTTCATGTTCGAGTCTCGAAGTCAGGTTGGGTACATGAAGCCAACTTAGCAAAGCCTACACGCCTTGCTTCTCGTTATGTCTTTGGGTTGAGTCAGCCTCGCCTGCTCGTTTGATACACAACTACAGTACACCCCTTGTACCACTCTTCCTTACTTGCACGCTGTCTAGCTGTAAGAGGTTTAACAATGTTTTGGAGGTTCACAGAAATATAGCTAGATTTTAGAGGCTCAACGAAGGTTTAGTGAAGTTTTTGATGCTCATGGGGTTTAGTGAAGTTTTGGAGGCTTATGAAGGTTTAGTGAAGTTTTGGAGGCTTATGAAGCTTTAGTGAAGTTTTGGAGGCTTATGAAGGTTTAGTGAAGTTTTGGAGGCTCATGAAGGTTTAGTGAAGTTTTGGAGGCTTAATGACGATTTTGGAGGCTCAACGAATCTTGACGATGTTTGGAGATAACATTGTAACGACAGACGGTTCTCTTCCTACAGTGTGTTAACCTGAACTTGACGACGATGACTCTGAAGGCCGCTGTCTCCCTCCTGCTGGTGACCCTGTGTATCATTCACACAGGTAAGTCGTCCTCTCTCTCTCTCTCTCTCTGAGTTTTTCTTTTGTCTTTGTTCTTCTCGTTCCAACTATGTCTCTCTCTCTCTCTCTATCTCTCTGTCTGTTTCAATGTTCCCTCTTTCTTGTATTTTTCTATTATTTTATTTTCTGTACGTTATCTCTCTCTCTCTCTTTCTCCCTCTCAGTTTTCGTTTTGTCTTTGTCTTTCTCTATACTTCTATCTATCTGCATAAATTGTTTTCTTTCCTCTTCTCTATGTTTCTCAGTCTATCTATATCCATCCGTCCATCCATCTCTCTATATCTCTGTGGGGCAGTGCTAGATGGCAGGCAGTAATTTCTGAGAGGTGCTGTGCAAGAAGGATTTTTTGAACAAGTACAAAAGTTCATTAATCTGCATCTGTATACCTGTTATAAGTAAACGAAATTAAAATGGTTCGATTCACTAACGAACAATTTACTTCGAGAGAGAGAGAGAGAGAGAGAGAGAGAGAGAGAGAGAGAGACTCGTGTTTATAATCATCTTTCACACATACAGGTTCTGCCTTCCAGTGTTATCGGTGCACGGGCTACGACTCTTCACTGCCTGACAATAAGATCACGAACAACAAAGCCTGTACACCCGGAAACTTTGATGGTTCAAAACTGTTAAACGTTTCGGGATCCAGTGACTCCCCGTGTATGGCCATAACTGAAAGCTACAGTAGGTGCATGTTTTTTTCCCTAGCAGAACTATTGAAATATAAAGATACGGGAGACTACACATTGATTACTACAAAATACAGGGTGGTTGAAGAGACCTACATGAATGCGCACGTGCGTGCATACTGTCTCACACACACACACACACACACACACACATTACAACTTTTTTTTTTATGTGGCCTCCAGCCTCCCCCAATAGCCACACCTTCGCCGCCATTTTATTACCTTAATATTAAATATCCTAATATATAAGTAGCTATCCTATCTGTGTTGAATTAGTTGAGCCGCAGATCTATGCGGCAATCAGTGACTGTAGCCTCATAGTCAATATCTGCAGCTGTTGTCGGCTTTGGGGCCGAAGCTCTCATTCCCCTGAGGCAGAGCAAAGCCGACTGAACTACTACTACTACTACTACTTTGCTGTTACTCGGAATGGAGTATGACGATCATCCAGTTATGATACAATGATATGAGTTATTAGGGATGTCACCTAGGTTGCTGAGTTTTGAGGTGACTAAAGAGCCCGACACGGGACCGGCAGCGACGTCCACATTCGTTACACATGTGGAGGGCTGCATCTACTGCCCCGGTTTGCAGTCGAGCTAACTCGAAAGTATTGACACCTTCTCGTGTGGTGCTCCTCCAAGCGTTACGATATGGGGTAATCGACTCCCAGGTGAGGGGGTCGATTTGGCACCTTTTCAGGTTTGTTTTAAGACTATCCTTATACCTTTTCAATTGCCGCCAGCGTTACGTTTACTATTCGTTAGGTGACTGTAAAGTAGCTGCTTTGGCAATCTACAGTCGTCCATGCGGGTGACATGGCCAGTCCAACGTAGGTGTATATGGATAATGGTAGCCTCGATGCTCCTACAGTTGGTGTCAGCAAGAATGCTTGCATTTATTCTCTTGTCTTCCCAGCGAACTCGGAGGATGGAACGTAGACTACGTTGCTGAAAGTTTTCAAGTGCCTTGAGGTGCCTCCTGTATGTGACCCATGTCTCACTGCCATATAGTAGTGTGGGCAGGACCACTGCTCGATATTCGTGCAGCTTTGTGGATTATTTCAGCTCCCTACAGCTGAAGACACGATTTCGGAGTCCGCCCAAGGCTTGAGATGCACATCTGATCCGATGCTGAATTTTTCATCAATATCTGTGGTGGTGGGCAGGTGGGAGCCGAGATACCGAAAGTGGGCAACATTAGAGTGTGTAGTACCGTTAAGCTGGATGGATGGTGGAGGCGTGTCTGAACCATGGGAAGGTTGAAAGTGAATCTGAGTCTTACGTACATTCGCCTCAAGGACGAAGTGTGCCTATGCGTCTGCATAGGTGTTCAAGATCTCCTGTAGGTCGTGTTCAGTGTGAGCAACAAGGGTGAGGTCATCTGCGTACTGAAGTTCAGTAATGGAAGCTGCCGACACCTTTGTTCTTGCCTGGAGTCGTCTTAAGTTGAAAAGACCCCCCTCAGCCCGGTACTCGATGTTCACCTCGCTGGCTAAATTGGCACTGGCACAAGTAAGGAGGGCAGCCAAGAAGATGGAAAAGAGGGTTGGGGCCAGTACACACCCTTGTTTAACCCCTGTTTGGATGGGAAGAACTCTAACTGGGTGCTGTTGTGCAGTACACTGTCGTTCATGCCGTCGTGGAGTTGCCTCACAATGACGATGAATTTTGGTGGGCAGCCAAAACGGCTGAGGGTCCACCAGAGGGCTTTCCTGTTGACCGAGTCGAAGGCCTTGGTTAGGTCGATGAAAGCCATGTACAGGTCACAACGCTGTTCTCTGCACTTTTCCTGTATCTGGCGGGCAGCTAAGATCATGTCAGTGGTGCCACGTGATGGTCTAAAACCACACTGAGATTCTGGGAGGAAGTTTTCCGGCTCAGGAAGAAGTCTGTTTGGAGGATTCGGGAGATAATCTTGCCAGCTACGGAGTACGGAGTGCAGTGAGATCCCACGGTAGTTGTCACACTCTGACCGGTCCCCCTTGTTCTTATAAATATTGACAATGGAAGCATCTATAAGTGCTTGGGAGATTTCCTCCTTTTCCCATATATTCTCCAGGAGCGAGTGGAGACGGTTGGTAAGCAGAGGTCCTACTGCTTTATACACCTCGGCTGGGATCCCATCAGACCCTGAGGCTTTCTTATTTTTCATCTGTTTGATGGCAGTAACTACCTCATCCAGGGATGGAGGATAGCTGAGGTGGGTCAGCTCTGGATGCTGAAGGACCTGCTGGGTAGTCAGGACATCCACATCAGTGTTTCGGTTGAGCAATGAATGGAAGTGCTCTTTCCAGCGTCGAAGGAGGCTTTCGTCGTCTTTAATTATGTGGTTACCGTCAGATGAGCAAAGGGGAGCTGCACCACGAGTGACTGGCCCATAAAATGTTTTAGTGGAAATGAAAATTTCGCGCATCTTGTGCTGATTTGCAAGTTTTTGTGCTTCACATGCTTTATTTTTAAGCCAGTCGTTCTTTAGATTGCGAAGTTCCTGCTAGGGTACCGCTTTCTTCTTGTGGAAGATATCAGCCTTGGTCCGAGACTGAGGGTTGTTCTGCCAATATATAAAAGCAGCACGTTTATCATCGATGAGCACTTTGATTGTCGGATCATTTTCATCAAACCAGTCCTGGTGTATTCTTTTGAACTGGCAGTGGGTCTCTCTGCAGGTCTTTGTCATAACAGCATTAAAAGTATCCCATTCGGCACTGGGATTCATGTTGTTTGTTGCTGGGTTTTTTATAAGCCCATGTTCGAGCTGCTCTCTGAAAGCATGTGCTACCGCTGGATCCTCCAGATGCGTAGAATTAAAACCTTTTCTGGATGCTTGCTGCCTTCGCCATTTTGGGGCAACGTGAAGTGAGAGTTTGGATCTGACAAATCGATGATCAGTATCACAGTGGTCTCACCGACGCATGGCACGGGTGATGAGGACATCTTGGCGATCTTTTTCTCTGACAATGATGTACAGTAGTCAATGAGATACCAGTGTTTGGATCGTGGGTGTTGCCACGATCCCTTGAACTTGTTGGTCTGCCTAAACAAGGTATTGGTGATAGTGAGGTTGTGAGCAGCACACTTGCTGAGGAGTAGGCCATTGGGATTACACTTGCCTAGTCCATTTCTCCCTATGGTTCCCTGCCAAATGTCAGCATCTCTGTCAACTCTGGCATTGAAGTCGCCAAGGAGCACAACCTTGTCTTCTCTGGAGATAGAGGTTAGCACTCTGTCGAGGTTGGCATAAAAAGCCTCCTTGTTGTCATCCTCTGCATCCAGTGTTGGGGCGTATGCACTGATGAAGGAGGCATGACGTTAGTGATTCAGTGCGACTCGAAGCGTCATGAGGCACTCGTTGATCCCAATCGGCATTTCATTTAGCGTGTGTAGGATGCGTTGACGGATGGCAAAGCCAACTCCATAAATGCAGTTTCTCTCCGCAGCAGGCTTACCCTTCCAGAAGAAGGCGTAGCCAGACCTCCGTTCTGTAAGTTGGCTTTCATCTGGGAGCCGGGACTCACTGATGGCTGCTATGTCGATGTTATACCTAGCCAGCTCTTTTGCCACAAGGGCAATTCTTCTTTCAGGACACACATTTGTGCCAGTATCCAGAAGGGTCCTGACATTCCATGCAGCAACCATAAGAGATTGTATGGTTTGTTTTTGTTTGGAGCTGTGATTTTGATTGTGTTTCGACCGCATAAGGATGACCTTTCAGGGTGTGGTTGCCCTTTCAGGTTGGGTTTTTAGGCAGGTTATGTTTAGGGCTCATTTTCTAGTTCCCTCCCTGCGTGGGGTGATGAGAGTGACTCCTCGTAAGGACTGCTCAGTCACACAGACGGGACCGGATTGCACTGCTGCCTAGATACCAGTGCATAAACGACTATCTTATCTGTGCAGCCCATGTGCAGAGTTGTGACTAGAGACTCCCCATCGCCATTCGTCCGTCACCATAGGGTTTTTGGGGGATATAAGGGGTTTGATGATGATGAGAGGTATAGTGAGCTGGGTGGTGGCTGCGCGTTAATTGATTTATGTGGTGAGGCAGAAGCGCAGGCTGCAACCACACATCTTGGTTCTCACTTTTCCTGATCCAGTGGTGCAAGTGTTGCAACGACTGGGGAGAGGGAGAGTTGCAATGGACTCCTGATAGCCCAGTTTGTTGGGTATCGCCTTAGTAGCCTGTCCATCAGGCATTGCTTTCGTCCACCGGTGTAGTCGTTGGGCTTCCATGGTGGTCAGCTCCTCCGCCTACACCACCGTTGGTGTCTTGTTGGAGCTCTGTAAACATGTTTGCCTGATGCGGGGCTCCACCGCAGATTTTTCGTTCGGGGTTTACTCCCGTAGCCTTATACCTGCCAAGGCAGCGGGGCGGTGGTTGGTAGGCGCCAGGACGTGTCCATGTGCCAGTGGGCCTATGAGCCATCCCTCTGGGGCCCACTGCTACTCCGAGATCCCCTGCTGATCTAGCCAGGGCCCACGCGGCACCCAGTTACAGTATGTTGCAATGAAGAGGCACAGCAGGAGTCTTGATGGTGAGGAGGCTGTATATTGGCAGGGGAACACTTATGCAAGTTGCTTCCCTGTTTGCCACGAGGGCTAGCCAGCGGAGGCAGCTGAAAGCGAGAGGGAGCAGGCAGTGCTTGCACCTTAACACTAACATAATGCTGACACACGATACGCATTTCACCACCTTGTGTAGTGTGTGTGTACACACACACACACACACACAAACACACACACATCGAATATATATATATATATATATATATATATATATATATATATATATATATATATATATATATATATATATATATATATATATATATATATATATATATATATATATATTGATAAAATCACACAGGGAAAAGGGAAACAATGGAGAACCTTAGGCTTGGTCTTTTTCAAGACATCTTCAGAGGCAACTGAATTACAAAGACTGAGAGAGAGCTGATTAGTGGGTCTCATATTTTTTACCTGACGTGACATGAGTAGTTATGCCGCCCGTTCTTATAAACTCTTCTTATGTTTGCCGTGTTGTTGGTGTGAGGATTAGTGGATGTCGTGTTTTTTAACCTGACCTCATGTTATGGAAGGTCACCCTGTGTACATAAGCTCTCTGTCAGTCTTTGTAATTCAGTTTCCTGTGAAGATGTCTTGAATAAAGACGAAAGTGAAGGTTTTCCATTGTTTCCCTTTTCCCTGTGTGATTTTATCAAGATTTATGTTATCCACGGTTCCATTGTACAATGTACATGATATATATAAATATATATATATATATATATATATATATATATATATATATATATATATATATATATATATATATATATATATATATGCAAGTAAATCACTGTAGGTGCGCGTGATCTAGGTATATGCTGATAACCACAAGGAAAGAAGAAAACACGAAGTTCCCAAGCGCTTTCGTGTAATTCACATCTTCAGGGGTGAGTACAGACTAAAGAGAAATACAAACCAAGGTGTATATATACAGAGGAGGGTGAGACCAGGTCCACAATGGTCAGGTATTAGGTAATGACCCTACTAATCTTTAAATAGCACACAACGGTTGGTGGTCAGGTCAGATGGTCAGGTGACCCGACCTTCTCACCTGGTTACAAATCTTCTTAATTACAAAATTGTCCAGCTTGTACATGCCGTTACTCAAATTCATGTTGAATGCTTCGGTATGTTTAATAAGACTAGATTCTATGATGTTCCTACTATCAATTGAATTACATGGTAATATTGAGGAGGCATTATCCCAGTCAATGCAATGCTTGTTATCCCTCAAATGAACAAACAGAGCATTGGATTCCTGGCCTGTCCTAACACTGTATTTGTGTTGTTTAATTCTAGTTGCAACATCTTTACCTGTCTGGCCTAAGTAAAACATATTACATTCCTTGCAATGAACTTTATAAATGCAACCAATTGTGTTGTTGGGGGAGTTCTTGATTAACATTTGTTTAACAGTGCATGAGTTTTTAAATGCCACATTGACGTTCCAGGTTTTTAGTTGTGAAGGAATGTGTGAGAAATTTTTGTGAAATGGTAATATTAAGATATTCTTATGGTCATGGGTGGGCTTGGGATCAGTTCTATAAAAAGTTTTCTTAGTAATGTTTAGGCATTTGTCTATGAAAGATCTAGGGTATTTAAGGTTTGAGCCAATATTATATATATATATATTTGTATTCCTCATCAATGAATTCCGGACTGCAAATTCTCAAGGCACGTAAAAACATTGTTGAAAATACTGTACTCACCCCTGAAGATGTGAATTACACGAAAGAGCTTGGGAACTTCGTGTTTTCTTCTTTCCTTGTGGTTATCAGCTTATATATATATATATATATATATATATATATATATATATATATATATATATATATATATATATATATATATATATATATATATATATAT